GAACTGAGAAAGAAACTAGAGGAAGTTGGATTTGAGGCACACCCACTTGATAGTTGCATGTTTTTGCTTCGCAATCCCACCAATCCAAAGATCCTAGAAGGAACCCTAGGCACACATGTAGACGACGGAATCGGTGGGGGGACCTATTTGTTCGAGCAAGCTTTAAAGAAAATACAAGAGAAACTGCTTTTCGGTCAAAGAGAGTACGGTAAATTCAGATTCCAAGGATTGGCTATTGAGCAATACCTGGACTCAAGCATTCGAATAAACCAAGCAGACTATATCAGCAAAATAGATCCTATTGACGTGTCAAAAGCTCGAAGAAAAGAGGAAGAAGCAAATGTTGATGAATATGAACTTCAACAACTTAGAGGTCTATGTGGTAGTTTGCAGTATGCAGCAGTGCATTCACGACCAGATTTGGCAGCGAAAGTAGCTTTCTTGCAAAAGCGTATAAGCCAAGCTCGGGTGCGAGATCTTTTGGAGGGAAACAGAGTTTTGAGGGAAGCCAAAGAATATTCTGAAACAAGCGTGTTCGTAAAACCAATTCCCATAAAAGAGCTAAAATTTGCAAGCTTTGGAGATGCTAGCTTTGCTTCAGAGCAACAATTGCGAGCTCAGCAAGGGGTGTTCATCGTAGCGTGCACTGATCAGCTCCGACAGAATCAAACCTCCGAGATAAGTCCTATAGCTTGGAATTCGAAACAAATAGGTAGAGTGGTTCGGTCAACCTTAAGTGCAGAAGCATATGCCATGTCATCCTCATTGGACAAATTGACATGGATTCGATGCATGTGGGGAATAGTCATGGGTCCAACCTTTCACTGGCAAAAGCCTGAGAAGGCATTGCAAAGCCTACCAAAGGCTTTACTGGTCACAGATTGCAAATCCCTGTATGATTTGATGACAAAATTGGCAGTACCAAACTGCCAAGAATGGCGTACAACCATAGAAGTTATGATGCTCAGAGAACAGTCTGGTGAACACTCCATATGTAGATGGATTAGTACAGCCATAATGCTTGCAGATGCTTTAACCAAGCCTATGGGTGCATCCTTCCTCAGACAAGTTTTGTGGGTCAGCCGTTTCCGCATATTCGATGAAGAGAAGGCTTTGCAGGAAAATCCCAATAAAAGATTTAGCACTCGATGGCTTGCTGCAGAGGGTTCATGCGAAAAAGAAAACACAATGAGTGTGAAACCTGCAATCGTTCGAGCATCCAAGCACCCTGTTGAACCTTCGCATGAACAACCGTGAATCGACGGTTGGCTCAAGGCAATGAGGTGGAAATAGCGCGGCCGCTTGATCTTGCATAGGTGGTTTGTAGGTCCCGTAGGTGTTTCTCAGGTTGAGTAGGGCTACCTTTGTGTCCTCGAGGACGAGGCACATATATGTATATATATATATATAATAGTAGCCTGCAGTGGTTGCAGGCAAGCATTGTCAAAATCTGTGAATTCCAGCTTGGGCTGTGATCGACATAGAGGCCATTTTAATTCTCCTATGTCCATAGCGTAACCCTTCTGATTTGCAGAGGTGCATGTGGTTGTCGCAATGACTCCTCAATTACATGTGCAAGATTGGAGAGGGGTCACAGATCACCAGGTTTGACGGAGCCCTGGCCATCAAAACCCATCAATTCGTTTTTGCCCCTTTGGTTCGCAGGTGGTTTTGGCTGAAACATGGGATGAGCATATCGATGGCCCTCCTTCTTGGAAAAGGCAGCTCCAAACCATCCTTTCTGCAAATGCGAAGGGCACAGTGGAAGAGTTTCACGCTTTGCTAGCTTCCTTGCGCGACGAGAGAGAAGTTGGTACTGGCTTCCGTCTGACAAATCCGGAGTTTGTTTGTTTGTGTGCTGCAGTCTTGAGTGCACAGACTCGAGACAGAACGGCAATTAATGGAATACAGCAGTTGGCGAACATGTTCGGGCTGCCCCGTCAACGCAATCCAACAGCTCCGGATTTTTCCCCAGCAGCTTTAGCCTTGGCGCCCCTGGGATCGGTTGAGGACTGTCTGCGAGGAGTCAACTATTTCAAGACAAAAGCGCGACGGCTGAGAGATATTGCTGCACTTCTATTGAGCCGTCACTGTGGCCGGGTACCTTCTACCTTCACTGAACTTACGCTGCTTCCAGGAGTCGGCAGCAAGATTGCGAATTTAGTGTTGAATGCAGCATTTGGACAAGAGGATGCTGGGATGATTGTGGATACGCATGTGCACCGAGTTTCGAAGCGCTTGGGGTGGTCCAGAGGCAATGATCCTGAGACCACACGAAAGGACCTGGAGAGATTTATACCTGCCCAAATCAGAGGGCTGGTGACGCTGCGTTTGATCTCCTTTGGTCAAGAGATTTGTCGCCCGCAGCATCCCAAGTGCAACAGCTGCCCAGTGTCGAGGGAAGCTCTGTGCCCAACCTACACACGCTTCCATGGCGAGCAACACACAGTTCATTCTTCCAAAAAACGCCCTGCGCATTTTCGCCAGTTGCGGTGCACCAAGTCCCGCAGACGAGTCTTGATTGAAATTGAGGACACTTGAGCGAGGAAAAGGTTGCCACTGTCCAGTAGCGATTTGAGCTCATTTTGCTTGCTGTATCTCCAACCAAGCTTTGCATATTGCTTTGCTACTTTGCTTAGACACCTGGAGGACTTGTTCCTAGCAGACTGCCCACGTGGGCATGCGGGCGTCATTTCCTCAGCCCGAATGCATCTCTACACCTTTCAAGCTTTTGTACACACTCCTTCGCAGACATCTCGGGTGAGAAGGTCCGCGCTTATTTGGAGAACAAGTCCGCATGTGGCAGGCGAGCAACCGCTCAACAGTGCATTTCCTTTGCATTTCGATGCGCACCTTTTTTGTTGGCTCACTATTCCCAGAAACAAGGCATTAGGAGCTTCTCAGCCTCGACAACTTATGAGACGCATTCGTACTATTGCGGCAACACTACCTCTTCATATTCATTGTCCTGTTTTGGTCGCCGCGTCACGCCATGCTATCAGCATATCCGCCGTAGTGCTTCGCTGGAATCAACTCTCAACAGAAGTCTACATTGTCTACTTCAGGACCCAGACACCATATTACATCTATACTTTGGGTCTAGCCCATTGCCGGTTACAGTCAGTAAAAGGGTTTTCTGCTTTATAGTGTTCATGGTGTTTTGTACCAGTTCTTTTCATTTTCTCTTTAGGACGCACGCCTTTCAGGCTCACTGGCTCACTGCAGCCATTTGCATGGGGTCATGGAGTATAGGCCATACTCTTGTATTTTTGGGTTTCTCACTAGCCCTGTGCTACCTTTACCCTCCCAAGTCTTGACTGTGTGAACCTGTGCAACAACGCCGAGAGATCATTTGAGGCTGGTGATAGACAAATGCACTGACGGCGAGAGGCAAGGATCGTTTCGTCCAAAAGCATTTGTTTTTACTTGTGTTGTCCATTTATTTACATGTATGTCTTTTTCGCTCGGTTCTTTGCCTTGCAAGCTGCTCGAGGTCGTGTGGGTTTACATGGCACTGGGAAGAAAACGGAGCAGTCCGAGTCCAAGCAACGATGACTTCTGTCCTCTACTGCGAGGCGCACGTTTCTGTTGACAGGTTGGTATTCGTGGCACAACCTTCATCGAGCTGGATCAACAGGGGAATCTTGGCACTTGCTGGTTGTTCTAAAGTATGTAAATGTGAAAGTCTTTGAGATGGAACCAGAAAAGGTACATGACAGTCACACAGACGCATGACATACCGTGGAACCGTACCGGCACAATACCCACTTTTGAGCTTGAAAAAGCACCTTCGCTGTTTTCATTGTAGCGGAGCGCTGGCCGTAGAGCGCCAGCTCCAGCTATATACATACCCACACCACGCTTTCTTTTTCTCGGAGGCGGTTCATTTCCAAGATTGAATAGCTATATACCCCAAGATCACTTGTGTGAGCTGGTATACAATTGGAAGTTCTGGCAACTACCGGTCTATAACGGATTGGAGTCTGATCCAGAAGAAGAACCCAACGTGACATCCAAGACGTTCTACCCAAAGGTCCGGCTACTCAGATCGATGGCGGGCGAGAGTTTGAGGATGGTGGCAACAGCCCTAGAGAGATATTTGCGTGCGGCATCTTGAAGCGCCTGATGTCTCCAAGCCTCACTCCAGGGACAATGAGTTGAAGATGTGGGGAGATTGGAAATTTTCTTCCATGAGCTACATCAAGGGCATCGATCCTATGGTGGCCACAGCGTCCTGACGTCCTGCCTGAGGCTGAGACCGCTGAAGTTGATTCGGCGTGTGAAAAGGAGAATGGGTTTGAGGCATGGCAGACCGTATTATGTGAAATGCAGCCTGCAACCAGAGTGAGAGCATTGGCCCTTCTGAGCCGTGCTGAAGGGAAAGCAGTACCAGAACAGTTGCCGCAATTTGAGTACGAACGGACTTCTTCGCATCAGTACAGTGATGACCCCAAAGTTGCTTGGCCCGATGCAAACCAGGCAACGCTTGCACCTATGGATCACCGACAGCGCGACCTACAACCAGTTGAAGGACTGAATCATACAGCTTGAGGCTGTGACAACCAAATCGAACAGTTCAAACTCACTCATGTTGCCAATGGGGGCATCTACATTGGCAAAACGTGGGACAAAGGCGGCAAGAAGGGCGGCAAGAAGGGCAGCAAGAGGGTGCAAACAAAGGTTCCAAAGGAAAGGGAGCCTGTCATGTGTACGGCAAGACCGCACTATGCCAAAGTTTGTTGGCAGAAGAACTCAAGGGTAAGCCAGGTTGAGGATGATGTGACGATTGTAGCCATGGACTTGCAAGAGGGAGTGGAGGAAGAGTTCAGGGTGACCAGATGAGGATGAGAAGCATGAGGTTGTGCTGCCACGGGCCCATGCAACCGTTGGGCAGTGGCAGCAAGGACCAAGTGAGTTGACGATGGTGACGCTCAGGGACAGAACATTGCCCATGACGAAGGCACGTGTTCACGTTGAAGACAAGCGTTTGTTGGTGGAAGACTTCGTTCTAGGCAGTGCCCAGCGCCCTATCATGTGCGCTGGGAAACGACTTAGAAAGGGATGGTGTCTGAAGAAAGCAGATGGAGGACCGTTCGAACTGCAAGAAAATTGCGAGGTGCTTGTGAACACAGAAAGGAATTCACTTCAGTACAAGGAAAGGTCGAAACTACATCACAGAGGAGCTCCATGGCAAGGACCCTGGCATTGAGTGGTTTCTTGTGCAAGTATGTGGCATCGACTTCGGAATGGTGTGGTGGCCTGCGATCCAGATGCTGCGCGGCTTGCTGATCCTAAAGGGAGCATCGAGGCAGCGTACAAGTCTCGAATGACACTCTTGCAAGGAAAAGTTGGACAGTGCAACGCCCACATGAAGTCAAGCTGGGCGACGCAAGGATGAACTTGTCCTGCGCTGGGAGCAAGAAGAGATTGCTGGAGAGATTGACGAACTTCAAGATCAACCTGGAAGGGAGAGAGAGAGAGAGAACTAACTTGAAGTAGATTCTGAAGAAGCAGACAAGCGGCAAAGACGTGAGGAGCAAACAAACCAAGAAGCGGGATGAAGCCATGAGAGTGCTGGAGTCATCATGAACACCTGGATTGGACCTGGATCCACCTGACTATGCAGGGATCAATGCTCTGGAGGTTCATAGAGGAGGAGATTGATATGGAGCTAAGTCCTACAGAAGTTGAGAGGGCTATTGAGGCGAGGAAGATGAAGATCCCCCAACAGTGACAGATGAAGAGCTGGAACTACAAGACGCACAAGCTCGTGAGAAGGAGATCAAGAGAATGATGGAAACGCCTGCCATGATCGAGACCGACGAACAAGAAGTAGCCCAAACAGAAGGGTACGTGATCGGTGCCAAAGAAGTGCATTGCCTTAAACATCGTTTGGAGATGGGAGGTTGATTCGACGAGCGCGTTTGGTGGCAAGGCAGTTCAGAGGAAGCGTCCAGACGGAGCAGACATCTGCCCCAACTTCATTGGTGATGCCCAAGCTGCTGATTCACCTGATCGTGAATGTGTTCCCAAGGTTCGCAGTCGTGACCCTGCATATCAAGGATGCATTCTTGATGGCGCCGCAGCCATCACATAAAGAGAGCCGACAATAGAATCTTTCGGCTTCTACGTTGCCTACCAGGCCCCAAAGAACAGCTGCGTCACAGTGGATCCAACTGTTTGCAGGTGTGTGCGGGTGTCAGCCTTTGGAATTGAAGCAGGGTTTGACGCAACCAACTCTCATGATGTGTGCTTGACAGAGCATGTGGACGATGTACTGATGGTTGGAATAACAGAGAGGATGAAGGAGTTTGTGAATTACTTCGAGAAGGAGATTGACTGGAACTTTGAGAAGAAAGATCCGTCTCTAAAGCAGGCGCAAAGTTCCATTACCTGAAGAGGCAGTTCGATTGGAAAGCTGTACCATTCGGTGCGACTACAAGCAGTATGGCAACTTGGAGAAAGATGTTGACCTTGGCTCGAAGTTCCACCGATGAACAAAATTTTCTTAGAAGGATGAGTCAGCATTGCCTGAGGGGAGTGAGATCACGAAGTTCAGGAGCATTGTCGGCGAGCTGATGTACTTGGCAGGTGAACGACCTGATACAACGCCTGGCGAGATCAATGGCAAAGCCCGCGGAGTTGGCCATGAAGATCGCCTGGCGCTCGCGCTCATATCTGTTTGGCGCTGGAGGCTATGGTGTGAAGATTGAGTCACGAAAGAGAGGACAATCAGTCATGGATGTGAGAGTGAGAGATAATGAGGAAGAAGCCACAGAACATGACGAACGCCTAGTTGAGGTGGCGACTCCGATCTACAAGCTCCTTCCAGATCTTTGTGGACGGCAACTTGATCGAATCACGAGTTCGAGCCCAGAAGGCAACGGCGTTGTCGTCAGGAGAGTCCGAGTTCAATGGTTGCACGATGCTCGGAGGATCTTCTGGTGAGGCATTTGTGGAACCAGATGACCAGGAAGAACTGCGCAGCGAAAGCGAGATCAGATAGCTCGGCGGTGTGGTCAATGGTATTGAGAGCGGGGCAGTAGCTAGAAATATGGGCAGTTGGCGAAGTCAACGAACTATTTATTTCTTAAGAGCTTCCTTGTTTTGCAGTGATGGAAAGCAAGCTTGCATTCATTCAAACATGTCTCTCACGTTTCGTTAAGTCTGGTTCCAGGGTAGTGGAGGGTGGGTTTCCGCTTTTCTTTGTCTGGCAAAATTGGGCCAGGGGGGAGCCATGGATGCGCGTGGATCCGATGATGTGGTTGGAGATGACCCCCTGTGCCAGACGGCGGATGATAGATTCGGCGCCATGGCTACGGATGATTCCAACAGGATCTTTGCAGAGAATATGTTGAGCATTGGCGCTGGCGTTCCCAAGTTGCCTTGGGAGGAGGGCATTTTCGGACAAATTTTTGGTTCGAATGATCCTACAGGTTTACCAAGCTTGGATTCCTCGCCAAAGCCGGCATTCCCAGTCCTCCTGCCAGAAGATGATGTTTTAGCAGACGATAGCGGTTACGTCGTCCCAGCTTTCGAACGGGGAGCGCCCATGTTTGCCAAGCATGTGAAGGCACTGTGCAAGCGGGATTGTCTTGGAGAACAAGATCTCAAGTGGACGAAAGCACTCGCTAGCTGGCTGACAATTCTAGAAAGTTGTGCTTTTGCTGCGCGAATTGGAGACTATGTTCTGGAGAAACTGCAAGCTGGTGACCGCGAAGGGGCTTTGGTCTATATCAGGGACTCATGTAGTGTGAGGTCACCGAGCGCGGTCCTGAAGAGGGCAAAAGACTTGCAGATGTTCATCGCATGGTGTCAGAAGACCAAACGTGTTTGGTGGCCTCTGGATGAAAGAATTCTGTTGGCTTATCTTGGTGAGTGCGAGCTTGAAGGCAGAAGCAAGTTCATTGGCAAGAACCTTGTCCATGCACTCAAGTTCTTCAGGTATTTGATGGGAGCCAAGTTCGATGTCGAACAAGTTGTGGGCCCGCTTCTTCATGGCCGTGTTAGTCGTGTGCTGTCAACACGAGACCCGACCCATCAAGCAAGACCACTGACAGTCAAGGAGGTGGCGAAGCTGGAGCGCTTGGCGCGCAATGCTCTCAACATCTATGACAGGTACTTTGCAGGTTGCATGCTCTTCGTGCTTTACTCCAGGGCGCGCTGGTCAGATCTCTCCTCCTTGCAGAGCTTCTTCTATGACGTCGTGGAGACGAACACAGGCCCATTTGGATTTGTGGGAGGCCGAACGCGCGTCCACAAGACTTCCAATTCAGTCGAGAAGAAGGCGATGTACCTTCCCTTCGTCGCGCCCATCCAGGGAATCACCGAAAGACATTGGGGCCTAGACAGGAAAGAGGTGCTTGAAGAGTTCAAGATCCTTGTCACCAAGGAGCCTTTTGGAGCAGTTTGTCGAGCACCGAAGTCTGACGGAACTTTTACTAAGAGGCCTTTGTCCACTTCGGAAGCGTCAGACATGTTGAACGATTTGCTGGAGATGGGGACAGACGATGAGACGACCTCGCGCAGCTTGAAGAGCATGACATTGGTTTGGTGTGCTCGCTATGGCTTGGGAGACGAACGATGCTTGGGCACCACGCGATCAAAGAGAATTCGATGGCCTGCTACTCCAGAGATCT